AAATCAAAACTTCGGGGACCGATAACAATGCAATAATTTGATAACAGTTTTCCTGTCTCCTTATTAGGACCGCCAGGATTGATAAATTCTTTATAGAACCTCTGTAGGGGAGTAAGAGAGATAGAGCTATCGCGCGATCTGCGCATGCGTGTAGTTTCGGACTTACTCTTTGTTGGTTCGGGTACTCGGCACAGCACAATGGAGGCAGATGCTTTTTCAAGGTAGTGCATTCTCAACTAGTTCGCGTTTTACTCTAAATTGAGTTGTTCTGTTAATAACTTAAATTTTATTATAATTTTATTTTGAAGTCATTAACTATAATTGATTGTTTGACCATCTACTACTGTAATATAAACTCTTGTAGTTGAAATTTATATTCCACTTTTCAGTTCGGTTAGCTATAAAAGCGTGTTTTTTTAGTTATTTAATCTATTATTTATTTAACCGTATTAAGGCAATACTAAAACAAAACTGCCCTCTTCAAAATACAACGCGTTCCTCCGCCACGCTACGTACGAATAAAAACGGCTGTATTTCAGCAAAACTGTCAAATATATTAAGACATTACTAGGCATAAGGTACATAAACGAATAAAATTGGTCGAAATAAAGATACGAGAAGTTTTATATTCGATCCAGCTCACCATCAGTTCTTGAATTCCCGCTGAGATTTAACATCCGCTTCCTTTTGTAAAGAAACGCAATAAGAGCTATGTACATTGGAGCAGCTTGCCGTATGCGCTGCGCTGAAACAATATAGACATTCCGGCTACTTGTTGGAGTATTTATTTTCACTTGTATTTGAATAAAGAATTCGAAAACGTTGGAAGTTTCAGCAGTTTAGTGACGCGCGCTATACAATTCGAAAACACAATGTTACAAATAAGTTGTAGTTCAACAATGCCCGCAAAGGTTTCCATTGCTTAATATCAATCTACTATCCCACGGGGCATAGCGTGGTACGCTTTCCATCTCTCGTTCGTGACTCTTGTCTTGAATGGGGAGCAGAAAGTGAACCAGCGAGGATCATGGACAGTTCACACGACCACCACTCAGTTTTTTCCATGAACCTAACTATGAAGTAGCTTCTAATTATAGTTGTGCTCTTTTGAGTTCAGATGTTAGTGGTATGATACTAAAAAGGTCGTTGATCACGTAGACAGATAAAAAAATAAAATTAAAGCTTTGTTGAAGTGGAATATCTGAATGAATAAATTTTGAAGAACACAATTTGGCAGGTGCTGAGCAATATACGAACACCCTGCAAATTTAAAAAACATGCTAACAAATATCTGAAGTTCTAAAATCTAATGTGTATGATACCGAGAGTGAGCGGTCGTGGACTTTCTCTCCCATTTCATTATCTCGCAAAATACCACTGGCCAAGTAACGTCAAGTGTTCCAGGCACCACTTGATTTCAACCATTTTTCATAAGATTTGAATTACGTAAGCCATAAGTTTTTATTTATTCCTTTTACTTCCCACGCATACTGTCTGTTGGTCTGTACGATAATTTACTGTTCGGATCTGGTTGGAATTACCATAGAAGGTTACTACAGTGCCGGAAAAAGCATTGTGGTTTTTTAAAATCGGTCCAGTGGCGGCAGAGTCAGAGACAAAAACACGAAAGAAATAAAAATCGCTCAAGCTTCGTTTTCCAGAAAATTTTTTTAGGGTAGAAAATCGGGGGTTGGGAGTTCTTTATTTGTTTTAGAGTTCTTTTATAATTTCCACCTTTTCAGAAACATCCACCTCTAGTAAGACCGATGACGGATTCATCTTTTTTTTTGTTATATGGGACTTCGTAAATCAAATCAATCAGAAACTATTTATTAGAGACGCATTTGACCCATTCACTTGGAATAGTAAAATCTTAATCTAAGACTACACATATCACTGGCAACGTTCCAATATTCCATTCACATTACTACCTTATATATCGTTATGATAATGCGTGTGTGTCGTGTGTGGATAGAAGAAGGTAGAGGAACACGAAGAAGGTCAACTGGTCCACCGAGGCGTACCATATAGCATTAAGATAGACGCTTCAGACAACTAGCGCTACGAGACCGTCTTGCTACTACGCGTCAGATCGTTGACCAATGGTTTGGAGAAAAAGGTAGACCTGCTACCAGGCGTACACTCTATCGCAGCATTCGAGCCTTTGGACTATTTTTCATACCGTCCGCGGTTAGTGCTTTAATCTGACTGCGGACCACTGTGGTCAACGTTTTGAACTGGAGCAGAGAGAGGCAACTTTGGCAGGCAGAATGGCATACTGTCCTCTTCAGCGACGAATCGCGATTCTGTCTAGGTACTCACGATGGTCGTAGAAGGGTAAGACGCCGTCTTGAAGAACTGCCTGATATTGGATTTGCTGTTGAGAGACATGTACCCAGGACTGTTGGCGTAATGGTTTAGGGGGCTATTGCCTATGGTAGCCGTTCACCCCTTCTCTTTGTTCAAGGCAATATGGCTGATGTCCGTTATATTGATGATGTCCTACAAACCACTTTACTGCCGTATCTAGAGGCTGTCCTTTTTCAGCAAGATGACGCACGCCTCCATATTGGTCATCGAATCTACTCAAGAAACAGGCGTTATTGTTTTGCTGTGGCCACCACTTTCACCAGATTTAAATCCCATCGAACATGTGTGGGATATAATGGGAACGAGACTATGCACTTTGCACCATCCGCCACAGACTCTGCCATAGCTAATCCATGAAGTTCGAGTTGCTTGGAATGAGGTGCCATAAACCTGACATCGATCACACATCATTAATTTTATTTCTTATTACTTGTAAATAAAATATGGTGACTATGTTATCGTTTCATTCTTGATGTAACACTACCTCATTGCCAAAGAAATAAAGTTGGAGGAATTATTTTTCTGCATATAACACTATATTCATAAAATCCACATGATGTCCAACAGCATGACGTGAATGTCACAATAAAAAGGGAATCCAGGCATTCAAATGATATGTGTATAAAATATCTGCGTACGTCGTGCTAAGAAGCATGACAGCAGATCAATCAAATTACAGCGAGATGAATAAGCGTTGTAGGTATTGTATATGTATACATATGTATACACACTCTAAAAATACATATGTACATAATACATTTAGGTTATATGATCAGGTAATGACGCGTCCTGCAATACGTAAAAAATGGCATGATAGAACTATTTTATCATGCATTATAGTCCTTGGGTACCTTTAGACGCCAAAACATATATATAATTATGAAAACATTCCGTAAATTAGTTGTAGTTACATTGTACGAGCTAAGATACACGCCCACTGAGACGAAGCGTAGTGTAGAAAACAGAAGTGAAGTTCTTTCGCTGGTTTCGTTTACCTAAAAGATCAGGCGAAGAGAAATGTAACGAGAGACAATCGTTATCATCGACGCACATTCTCGTGATCCTTAATAATATACTGGGTATCTCAACAAAAGTGGTAAGTAGTTTCATGGGACAACTGAAAAAGCTATTCGGGGACGATTTCTACAGGAATATCGATACTGATAGCTGCGTATTTTTAAATAATTTTTATAACCCCGCAGCACAACAATCGTATGTTCTTGGAATGGAACGCCCTATATTTTATTAGATATTTGGAAAGAAGAATATTCATGTAATATTCCATGGGATTGTAATTATTTGTTTAGTAATTCATCAGTCTCTGCCCAAAATTCAACAAAAATCTTTCCAAAGTAAGACAGCTTTAGTGTTTCCAAGTATCACATTTTCCCACAAAAATGATCAATTAATTGAACAAATAACAAATGAAATATAGTATATCGATCACTTCTTGAAAAGCTCTTCCCAAACGTAGAGTATCCTAATCAAAAATGGACGTTTGTTGTGTCACGGAATTATACAACACTCTGTAAACGTTTAAATAATGCGTATACAGTTGTAGTCACCGTAAAGTAAGACTACCAGTATCCCTTTTATATCTCCATCTCCCTTATACATACACATGCAACCTACCACTGTGTGTGAACGTTTGTTCGGTAAGCTCAAAGACATACGTTTTGTAGTTGTATGTGTCCGTCTCGAAAACTTCGTTGTTACGTATGAGTGCCTTTCAAAGTAGTCGTGCAATCTGAGTTGTCCTGTTATCAATTTTCAATATAAAATTGTACAATGCAAGGAAATGCCATCAATGGAGAATGCCTACAACTCGTAATAAATTTATTAGAGTATTTCCAGGAAGAGAATGAAAAGATCGGTCTCCTGTTACCCACTTCATGCGTACTGGAGAGAGTAGCAGATGCGCTGAAGATTAGTCTGCGCCCATGGTACGGAGACTCGGTCTGTTTGCTTGTTTTATATGGCGTTGATGACGTAACAACCAAGAACGGTGACTACAACTATAGTTCTCTTCACGGTTTTCGGTGGTTACGTCACAATGTCATACGAAATAAGTAAACATCCCAAAGTGAATTCGGTTATAGAGACCGTTCTTTTCGCCCACTTTATGAGATTACTTAAATACACAACTGTCAACATTGTAGTTGTATCTTCTGGATCTATTATGTTTTAAATCGAAGATTCACACACGGCACATGTCCATGACTTGAAAGTTACTATATTGACAACGACAAGCGTAAATGTGGAACTCATACATCGGCGAGAAAAAATAATTGGCGGTGATAAGAAGCTTAAAAACGTACGTGCAGGCCGATTGCATATGTATGTGTGAGAGAGTTAGATATACGAAATTAATTCCTGCAGTTCTAATGTGACCCGCCAAAGACCGTGAAAAGATATCAGATATACAGCAATATTGAATATTGCTGTGAAAATCATTACCGAATATCTTTTCTAGTTTTTCCATTTCATTTTCATTGGATCGCCCCAGAAATTGATATTCATCTTATCGTATGTTACTATTTCTTTCACCCGCCATTTTTAATTACAGAATACGTAACTGAATTATTATTTAAATACGAGCTCTCGAGCACTTACTAAGTTTAGGAACTTACCTCCCAATAAAGAGAAAGTGATTGGTAAGATTGAGTCTTCTAGTAGACCGTAGAAGTCCGCTAATAGTCCTTCCTTCACAGAAACACACTACAACGTTCGCATTGGCATCTTGACGAAGATTCTTCACCACCTTGTCAAAATCTTCGTCCGGAGCACTGCTCAAAACTGAATCTTCACGAGCGATGCATACGTCCAATTTCTCTGCTAGTTCTTTGAAAGCTTGTATACCAGACTGGCCATAGTTTTCTGGAATAACGAATAAGTAATCTTATAATCCGGGTAATGATCAACAAACAATATTGGTATCTACCGGATGCTATTTCAGTATATGTATAATAATATAAGCCATAGAAGAGAAAATACATCTGCAAGCTTATTATCAAAATGTTCGCGGCCTTCGAACAAAAATCAATAAATTATACTCAAATATTCTAGAAGATTATGATATAATTGTTATGACAGAGATCTGGCTCACAGATAGCTTTTATGATGTAGAACTCGTTGAGGATAGGGTATACTATTGTAAGGAACAACAGAAGTGGCGGCCGAAGAGGAGGAGTTTTAATTGGCACAAAGAAGTATTTGAGCATGAAATTGGTCACAATAGGAGTTCCAAAACACTCTAGTCTTGAGTGTTTGGTAGTCAGAATTAATTTTTAAAAGAAAATGTACCTATGTGTAGTTTATGTTCCACCAAACGAAAGGTCTGATACATATGTGCAATTCTTCAGTTCATTTGAAAACATTTTAGATAAGGATGTGGATGTGATAATTTTAGGAGATTCTAACCTACCATTATACGTAACACAAGGCTGTGAAAATAGCAAGTTGTTGAATAATTTTACGAGTTTATACAATTTGAATCATTTGTACTTAATGTAAAACAAAGGTAACTTGATCTTATACTGTCAAATATGTCTATAGTTAACATAGAAAAACGTGAATACCCACTTCTAGATGAGGGTCCTACCATCCTGCCCTGAATATGTTTATGCCTGTGTTATTTAAAAATAAAACTAGTAATATTTACAGTCAGCCTGGATATATCTATGATTACTCAAAAGGAGATTTTTATACAATCTGTTACAAGATGTTGACTGGTCAGATCTTCAGAAAGCTGAAGATGTGAATACATGTACTGACTTATTCTATGGAAAGCTGTGAATAGAGCCACGTATAATGGTGGCAATTATCCAATTTACTTTTCCTTGGCACTGAATGAAAACATTAAATTAAAAAAACGTCTTCACAGACAAATTAAGAACGCTAAAGCTAGCTTAGAGGTTAAAAACAATGACAATAGCTTAAGAACCACAATCAAGCACCAAACTGCAAAAGAATATCAGGCCTATTATGAGACAATTGAACATAATGTCAGCAATGACCCCAGCAGCTTTTGAGACTTCTTAAGGTCTAAGCGTGCAAAGCCTGGTATTCGTCTAGAGGTTATGTATGAGGGTTGTGCCATTATTGGTTCACAACAGTCTGAGAAACCAAATTTTGATATGTGTAATAGTGACTACACATTCTCCCAGGTCACCGAGGCGCAAGTTAAAGCAAGTATCAGAAGGTTAAAACAAAAAAAGCAACTGGCACTGATAACATCACTTCATATATTTACAAAGGGTGTTCAGATATATTGAGTGCCCCATTAATGACAGACACATTCTCAGAGATATTCAAAAATGCATCTGTAACTCCAATATTCAAGTCAGGAGATGCCAGTTTAGTTAACAATTACAAGCCTGTCACTGTTCTTAATGCTCCTGCAAAGATTTTTGAAAACTATTGTATCAAGATACTCTGAACTCGTGTATAAACATATAAACAGGTGTTTCAACTGTTACCACAATGAGCCAGGCTATCGAGGATGCTAAATTGCCCCAGGCCAAACGCCTTGCCACAGCCTTGCGTCATCCAGTAAGTGGATCAAGATAGAACAATGTGTGTGGCCTATCATATTGTTCAATTCAATCCTGACACCCAAAATACTCTAGTTAGTGAGCCTTCGGTCGTTGGTCTGTATGTCGCAGATACCTTGTATGATAAAAACAGGTATTTTCGAGTCTTGTCGAAATTCACTTTTTGTATTTTGTAGCCATAAAGAATATATCGAATATCCGTCGAAACGTCAGCTTTATGCGTATGACACCGTTATATCCCAAAATCCGAACAAATGAAATGAAACGCAGCCTGGCATACTGCTCGCATGTCCAAAGACAGGCAACTATATTTGCAATGTTTACACTTTCACTAGTTTTAAGCTCCTTTCATACCGACGCGGCGGACAATGTGTAATTTGTTCCTCTATAATACAGCTATGATGCTGCTACATTCTAGGTCTGCTAAATGGGTCACACTCTCATGTACTGTACTTCTAATTCGGTCGAGCTTCATATACGAAGTTTAAGGCATTTTCAGGAGAGAGAGTCGATTGAACGTGAACCACGATGCGTCTTCAAGAACCGATTAGAATATCGATGGTATTCGGGATCTTGTGCGTTCAGATCGTTGGCTGACGGTCAGAATGATCGCGAAAGAGTCAAATTTGTCTCGCACCACCATTCATCAGGTCAAGAATAACTGAATGTTGCATTACAATAATACCTCTTGTCACACAGCAATCTCAATAAACGAGTTTTGCGCCATTAAAAAGATTCCTGTGGTTCCTCAGCCTCCTTATTAGCCTGACTTGAGTTCTTGTCTCTCTCTTTCCAAAGTTGAAAAATCACCTCAAACAGTAGAAAACATTCGAATGGCTGTAACCGACCAGCTGAAAGCTAATCCAGTAGGAGTGGAAGATCCGTCTCCAGCGCTGTCTGGCTTCAAAAGGCAGTTGTTTTGAAGGCAACAATATAAAATTATATTACTTGAATGAAGAAATTAAAAAAGATCATCTCACTACTTAACTTACTGACCTCGTATACTCCTAGGGTATTGAAAATTTGGAATAATTAATCACAAGAGGCCATCCCCAATTCAATTATTGGACAGAATAAGCTCGGTAGACGGCTAGATATTATATAGACCTCTCCTATCAGAAGCTTCATTAACGAAGGGATTTCGTGCTGTTAAATTAGATAGCTTAAATTCGCTGTTTTCTACTATACTCTCAGTAATTCGATAGATTACATCCAATTAGCGCGAATTATACAGCCTATGCATTTATTCTCAAATTGATTGTGCTATTTAATGGTCAATGGGATTTTGTAACAATTTGGATACAATAAACTGGGGGGCTTGAAAGTAAACCACTCGAGGCCATTCGATGTTTCAACAGTTATCCATGTGCTGCATTCAAATTCAATTCAAATTCAATTTCGCTTATTAGGTCCGAACACTGTACATAAGAGAAGAATACGTCATATGTATAACACACAATATATCAAAAGTAAAGACGAAATAGAAAACAAACTAAATAACCAAAAAAAAAAAACTGAACACAGAGAATTTAAAACTCGCATGTGAATGCCAAGTTAATGGACCCCCTGACATATTGTATCATTTTCAGGTCCTTCAAAAACACAAGGAATTTATCTATGCTCTAGAAGGTGTTAGATAAAATCATCCCCTAAAGGTGCTTTTTGAAGAGCATTATGTCATCTGTTTGTTTAACAGATTGTGGTAAATGACTGTATACTTCTGTACCTGCATATATAGGTGACTTTTCATGAGTTTTTAAGTTATGCTTATCTAAGCAAAATTGGTTCTTATTTCTTGTGTTATAATAATGAAATGCAAGTTTTTTTGGAAAGGACATTCGTTTTTATGCGTATAGGATAGTAGTTTTAGCAAATAAAGTGAGGAGACGGAAAAACTTGATATTTCCTGAAATAGCCGCTACGGCTCTGAACGATAAATTGAACATATTTCTAATGACTCTTTCTTGCCTGTTGAAGACTGTCGATAGTTGAGGCCTGTTTCAGAGATAACGATATTATATGACAGGACCGAGTATACACTGATTTTCTTTAATGTCCCCCTCCTTTTTGATTTTTTGGACGGATCTTTTAAAAACATTATAAACTTGAGGTAACGAAATTGATGCGTGGATACCATATTTTAGAGTAAAATTGACAGATGAAAATGTCAATATGGCCGCTGGGCGCCATCTTGGAAAAAAATTATATGAAAACCGGGGTCTTGTGGCACATCATTTTGAAGCTCCTGACGAGTCCTTTATAACCCTAGAATATAAAGTCAATACCCTTACCTACTAAACAATGGTGGTACATTTTATAATTACTCGAACACAAACTCACTAACATGCATATCTACACAAATAATTGTAATTCCCTGCCGTATCCACAGCAACAGCAATAAAAACTTGTTTTTTAATGATCGTTCTCCGAATTGTTCTACCTGTAGAAAATAATTAAGGGAACTTGTAACTAGATTTAGAGCTACTGGTAATATTAGCCTATTATCCAAAACTGCCTTTAGTATTTGCAAATGGAGTGTTTTTTCTTGTTTGAAAACTGTTTTTAGATAGCAAAGTCGGACCATCTTCATATGTAAAGTGATGTTTTTGTGGATATCGAGTATGAGTTTCCCGGAAGACGTGAGGATTGGTGCCACTCCAATAACGACAACTTTGTCTGTGCACATTACCGTTGGGAAAAAAATGTACATTCATCACTAAAACAAATATTTTGGATATAGGTAGCATGCCATGCAATGGTTTCCGTCATAGTCTCGCAGAATTCTGTTCTTCGATCAGGGTCATCTTCAGTTAGTTGATGTACCATTTGAATTTTGTATGGGTTTTTCAAAAGTAGCCATACAGTAGAAGGACGAACCTCACATACATTCGTGATGGAGATAGTAGACTGTTGGGGATTTACTATGATCTCACCAATTATTTATTTGAACTTGCTTTTCTTCCGGGATGGTCGGATGACCTGGGGGATTTTTGTTGTTTACACTGTTACAAATCTTTCAAATATTGACTATACAAGGTAGTACGGGGACATGTGCACTTACATTTGCGCATTAAATTTTATTGCCGGAGCTAAAGCACATTATAGCAGTCTTTAAAAAAGGGTCTACCAGATACAGTTAGTGATCAGTTGGTCACCATATCCAAAGAACCTCCAAATCATAAAATCTTTCTTGGAGGATACCTATTGATAAGCCCAGTAGACCACTGGTTATTGAGGATACGTTACCTTTTTGAATCTCATCAGTAGTAAAGAATTGAGATAACTCGTGATCGTATAAGAAATATTTCCCTTGATGTGAAAATT